TCACATATTGATAAAGGCTTTAGGATTGAAAGCCCTTTGACCAATAGCAAAGTGGGAGTGTTGAAGTAAATCACTTTGTAAAAGGTATTATCTTAGGTAAGTTGCTAGTAGTCAAAAGGCAGCAAAAGAACATAAGGAAGTTACTATGGTGGCTTGTAGGATTTATAGGTGGCAGCTAGATTAAGAAAGAATCCAAGATTTAGTTGGATGAAAAAGAAATGGATGTAACGTCGATGGAAGTTGCCTCGTTAGTTGGCAACCACCACCTATAAGTAATAAGTGTTGGAAGTAAGAGTTATCTTACTCCATACTCCCTTTTGTGTACAACCTTGTTGATGCTAAGTGTTGTGACATTAAAGTGCTTGTTCTTCAATAATACATGTTTAAAAATACAATGTTACAAAATAAATAATATGAAAGATTAATCTACTCATAATATCAATAATTATACATAGAAAGTTGTACCTTATTTATACTATAATTTATTTTATTTCAGATATATTTTTTAAAAATTAAACAATATTATTTATATATAAATTTAATATGTAAATTATTTAAAAACTAATTACTAATAATTTTGAATTTAATATTTAATATATTTATTATTTTAAATTTTAATATTATTTTGATTTTATATTAATAATAATAAATAATTTGATATATTAATAAAAAGATGTGAAAGTAATAGAAAAATCCTTAAATTAAATTACAGCCATATAATGGTCTAACATAATCTTTGCAACAATTTTATATGCACTAATATTTTTTCTTTTAAGTGTTATGGTTTAGAAGTTTGGTGTGTATAATATTTCAGTTATAAAACTAATTTTACATAAAAAAAACAATATTAGTATTCTTTAAGTTTTTCGATTTTTTCTTTATTATGAATTTCTACTAGAACCATGATATAATAGATAATGACTTCAAAGGCGAATTTTCAATTATTTCATTTTATATCTTTTATTAGAGATCTTTATATTAAAAATTCTTTAACATCCTCATGATAATAAAACTCATTATTTAATTTTATTTAATTTATTTATATTTTCTTTATATTAAAAGTCTTTAAAAAGTAAAAAATTACATTATTATCTCTCCTACAAACATAATTTAAAGATATTTTATAATAAGTAACATAGAACACATCTAAATAGTAATGTGGTAGTCAAAGATCTAGGAAAATACAATGTTATAAAGAACCATATATCTATTTATTTGAATTTTTTGTATGTTGCAGATAAAAATCAAAATAAAATGAAATAAATCAAAATGATATATCAATTATTATAAAGAAATTATATTACAAACTTGTTCCTAATCTCCCTTGTTCCCTATCATTCTTTATGATAGGGTGGTTTGATTTAGTAAATGGGTGGATTATTTTAACATTTTTCTAAATAAATAAATATTTTTAATACTTTTTAAATTTTTATAAATTGAAAATTTAAAGATTTTTTTATAGTAATTAATTTTTTTGTAGATGTAAATTGGTTTTTACTTTATTAATAATTTTATCACTATATTGGTTTAAAATTTTATTTTTTATATGTATTTCAATACAACTTCATTAGCCTTGACTTTTTTAATAGCATAAAAGGTTTATATATATATTTTTATACAATTATCAAATTTCAGATTACTAGTTATAGCAATAAATATTTTATTTTCATAATAAACTATGCTTAGCAACGATACACCATATCAAAGATCTTTTAATATTATTTGTAGCCAATTAATTCTTTCAATATATTGTCAAAAATTATGTATTGAAATTTAATACTTGGCTACAGGACTTAAATGTGTTTCTTAGAATGCCAAATTTTTCAAAAATAATCAAGATGAAATCAATACAATTTTTCTTTGAATAATTAATCCTCCAAAAACTAAAAACTTCCAATAATTATTTAAAATTTTGGAATCCAACTCAACTAGAATCTTCAAAATTTTCCAATATAAAGATTTTGCCTTTGCCATTAAATGTGTTGTGTAATGAAGGGCAAAAGCTAAGTTATACCTTGTATGTGTTATGAGTTGTTATAAGAATTGATATTATAATTGAATTTTTTAGAAAATCATTTAGAAATGTAAATTTATTTAGTGTAATCTTAAGTATTTAATATAAGATATAAAATAAAAGTATTGCACAAGAAAATTTGGTAAAATCAAGAATGTGATTACTATCATCTTCACCCTGATTTTAATTTATTGTGTCTAAAAATATTAGATTTTTTATCAAATTATTTATCACATCACTTAAAATATAAAATTGATGTGAAAAAGTGCCATTTGATCTATTTGGGGGGTTTTGTTTTTATTTTTTTCTCTTCAATGTATCCAAGAAAATTATTAAACTAAGATGCAAATTAATTTGATTTTCCGTTCTTTTAAAATTAGCAAATTTATAAATTTTATATACATTAAATTTAAATAAATATTATTATAATCTATGTCATATTTCAAAAGATTTCTTATGACTTAAATCTTGTTTATTAAAGTTTAGATTTTTAAATTAACTGATATCTACAGAGTTTTTTTTTTTTTTTTTTTTTTTTTTTTAAATATTTTTTGACAATTTAGTGTAATGTGGTCTTTACATATAATATCTAAAAAGGTGAAATTTTATATTATAAACTCTATACTACTAAAAATATACATCTTAGTTTTTAAATTTTTATGTGTAAGTTGTAGCAACCATCATCTAAGATATTAAATATTAAATATTATATATTTTATATTTTTTAAATTTAAATACTAATTAAATTATTATATATATATATATATTTATATTTAAATCCTTCTTATTTTAAAAATTAAATTAATATAAAAATATTTGAATAATTTTTTGTAATTCTTACAAAATAAAGTATTGAAAATGCATCACAACTTTTATTAGGTTATATATTTCTAAATATATCAATCTTGATACATTGAAGATATTTTAGGTAGATTGTAAAAAATCTTTTATAGATTTTTTCTTTCAAATCCAAATTCATGTAAGTTAAGTGCTTTTAAATTCAAGGAATGCATGCTTCTTTGATAAAATTTATATTTAATTAATTCTTGTTTGATTTATGTTCTAAGTTATAGATGCCACAATTACATCTTATGTACTATCTGAATAGCAAAGTTTGCAAACATATTATATAATTTTAAAAAAATAAAATAAAATTTATTTGAAAGTTTAGATTTAACTTACAAATTTTAATTTTTTGTTTATGTTTCTTGAGCAAGAACTAACTCTAATTTTGAGTTAAATCACAGTTCTTCTTATGATTTATTAAATAATTTAATAAAATATAGATTTACAGTAAGCCGAAGAAGATATAAAACATCAAGTGTTGTCTTTACATTCCAATTGAGAAATTTAATTTTTATATTGCCACTACCTTGAACAAGGAAGATTATATAATCATTACTTAAACAAATGTATTTTTATGTATAATTCTTGATACATTAATTATAACCTTTTTGTTTATTTTGCACATATTATTTTGCTTCTAAATTTATATATGATATAAAATAGCATTTATTACTAGTATCTAATGCAACAACATTAAATAATTGATTTTGGATACTTTTATTTTGTAATCTTCAATCAAATAATGGTACTTTTGGAAAAAAAATAAGTATATCTTTTTTAATAATTGATTTTAGATATTTTATTTTATTTTATAATAAAATAAACTTTTTATATACAATATATGTATAAATATAGTAAATTATTATAATTATAATATTTATTAATTTTATTCTCACTATTATAATAATTATTTAATATATATGTATAAAAATTAGATTTATTATTTATAAAAATAATAATTTATAAATATGTATAAAAAATTATTGCATATATCACCATTTAAGTTTTTATTAATAATCCTATTTTTTAATATGAGAATTTAATACAAACTATTTAATTTAAAAAGTTAATAAATAATCTATGACTTGGTAGTAAGCTTCTCATAAAAGCAAAATTTGTTTATATATGTAAGATATTTATTGACCAACAATTATTGTATATGTGTTTGAAATTTAATAATGTATTTTGTAACATATATGAATATTTTTTTGGTTTTTAATGTATGTAGCTTATCTTTTAAATATACCAGAAAAACATCCTAAAATTTCAGTAGACCTTATAATTATATCTATACTTAATAGAATCCCAACTAGAATTATATGAATAGATTTATATCATTTTTAATGCACATATTTATAAAACATTATTTAAAGGATATCTTTATTTTGCTAACACTAAGTGCTTTCTACTCCTTTGGCAAATAAACTTTTTTGTCCTATAACAACTCCTGTAACATTTGGTGTTTAAAGGAAGTGTTTTTTATTTTTATTTTTATTTTTAAATAATGTTTATTACATTATAATAAATAAAACACATTTGATCTTAATTTTAAAACCATCAAACTAAAGATCTTTATTATAATGATCAATAAAGATATATATGGAATATATCTATTCTTTATCATATTTGAATTATTGTTAATTTTGTGTATAATTCTATATTTTAAAAAACCATTGTTTTTAGTATCAAGAAAACATTAAAAATTCAAGCTTGTTACATGATACACTTTATACTTAGATACCATGCTAGAATAATTTATATTCAATGTATTTATGCATTTTAAATATTACAATGAATTCTAACTTCTCATAAAAAGTACTTGTATTCTTACTCATAGCATATATATATATATATATATATATTTATACTATACTATATATATTTATACATATATATATATATATATATATACACATTTGTACTGATATATACTCATGTTCTACATCATTTCTAGAAATGATGTGATTTCTAGAAGCACAAGAACCACCACCACCACCCAATCTCTATGTCAGCATAGATTTCTCACAAGCCCACAGGAAGAGGGAGGATTCCGTTTCAGAATCCCAGTTGTGGATGATGATCTCATCTCAGGCTTGTGTCTAATGATTTAATAATACTGTAACAAAAAACACACACCTTCAGCGGTACACACACACACACACACACACACACAGACACACATACACACAGACAGACCATGCACCTGATGACTGCACGGCACGAAAAGGACTGGATCCATCGTCGAGATCTCGCCCGGGTTCCTCATGCAGCTCCATTTGTGTAACTGATCAGTGAGTTACCCATTTCTTGTGTGTGTGTGCGAGTGTGTGCTCATTTGCCTTGCGGGTTTTGCTGATGGAGCTCCCCGAATGAAGAACCCAATTGATGTTATGTGGGAAGTCGGGTACACGTTTCAGTTATCTACAAAAGTGAACCAGCTGCCAATTGTTTCAGTGAATACACACAAAATCCCTGCAGTGGACGGACATTGTTCTGCTGGCTGAGTCCTTCTACGCTTGCCGCCGGTTACGGTGGTTGAAGGGAGAGAGCAGCTTTTAATCGGCTGCTGTTTTCTCTGCATCTGAGGAGTATCTGAAACCCACGGAGTTCGACTGGTGAGTCCTGCATGTGTGCGTTTGCTACATTCAGTTAGCATCATGTGTTTTTTGGCAGCGAATGTTGTCCAGCAATAGTTGCAAGGATTTTGCAATGCGGTTTTGCTTGTGTTTTTTTGTTTTTCTGTTTTTTTCCGATCCTGATGTGCACAGCGTTCAGGTGGGATATTTAGGGCTGCAGATCTCTACAGTCGTTAGAGATCTGAGAAAGAATTACTTGAGTTTAAATTATGTGTGCGCTTTGGATCCACATTGGTAGCAAGAAATATTCAGATATTGCTGGAGTATTAAAGTGTCTTACAGTGGAAATTAAAAGACGTGTTATGTCTCGACAGGGCTTCCTGGCCATTCTGCACAACCTGAAACGCTGTAAAACCAACAAAAAACAGAAATGCAAATGAAAATGCATTTCAAATGAAAACGCATTTCAACTCGAGCAACGCTTCGTCGGATAATCCGAATCCACTGGATTGAGCATCACTAGGTGCATTTAGGTCGAATTGAGACGAGATCAGCTTTTTAAGATACGTCCTCAGAGATCAACACTCTCTGTGGTTTCAAAGAAAGTTCTACACATGAGAAGTATTTATTTTTCACTGCACATTTCTGTTGCACATATTTTAGCGAATGCTCACGCGTAATTATATCCCCTCTTTACACCAGGCATGCAATGCTGGGAACAGCTTTGGAATAATCAGATCTCGCAGCACCGCAAAGCACTCTCGAAGAACCCGGACGCTGTTACAGCAGGAAGCGACTCGCAAGAGCTGATGAACCCTGAGCACACCGACTGCAGCTCGCAGGCGAAATGCCAACCTAAAATGACTCTTGTAAAGAAATCAATAGCTGCGGCACGGCACGTAGATCCATTGATATACGTCTGCATTATACTTATCCTCTTGGGCTACATGGGTGTCGACGTCTACACTCGCAGAGCGTCGGAGTATGATCCTAGAGCTTGCCCGCCGCTCCACGCAGACGCATCAGCACATCAACATGGGAAATTGACAAGAAAAGGTACTCGAATGATGGACTGTGGATCAATCGAGGGCCATCTTCCCTTGGAGCGGAGCTGGTTGCTGCAGAGTGGAAGCAAAAGTAACTCGCCAGACGCTTGGCGCTACATGAAGTGGATCGGAAAGCCGGCGAGGTGCAGGGTTAAGGGGCATTTAATCGAGGCTCTCGATGATGTGTACAACTTCCGGCGGGGGTATGCGTTAAAGTACGTCGCGGATGTCGAAGACAAGACTCATATTTTGCCGTGGTTGCTTGGGAACAGAGTCGACTTGAACTTGCCCCGGCGGCGAGTGCTGATGGACCTCGGCGGCAACAGGTTCGACACCAGTGTTACGTGGTTTAATCGAATGTACCCATGCGATTTTACCGAGGTGCATGTTTTCGAGATCGACAGGAACCTGTTCAAATTCCCCAAGGAGGACCATGAGGAGTTCAATGGACCCTTTCAGAACTCCGCATCGATTATGGTGAGGAATGCGCCGCCAATCCCCAAGTGGATGATTGACCGCATGAAGCTATACAACGTCTTTGTCTCGGACGGCGATGACCCCAGCACCAATGCCCTCAACATCACGCGATTCATGACGGAAACTCTGGACCTTAAAGCTGCAGATACGGTTGTTGTTAAGATGGACATCGAGGGAAGCGAGTGGTCCATTCTGAAACGATGGATGGCTAACCCTGAAATACCGCGGATTGTCGATGAACTGTTTGTGGAGATTCACTACAGCCATGAAAGTATGGATGCGTTCGGCTGGCAGCAGTTCAAGGATCACACGAGAGACGATGCCACTCGTCTTCTCGCTGCACTGAGATCAAAAGGATTTTTCGTTCATGCATGGCCGTAAGTGCACTGTCAGTGGCTCTAATCATTCTTGATCTGATCATGTGAGCCATCGTCAACTCGATTGAAAGTCTACTAGAGTCTTCATCGACCTGAAAATTCTCTCAGAAGGTTTTGTGTAGATTAGTTGGTTGCAGCAGTAGCCTATATTTTGTCTCCGGCGTCAGTCAATTTTCTTAGCAAGGCTTGTTCAATTTTATGAATTGTTCATTTCAAAATTCGACATTATGGTTCCAGTGCGTTGATTAATTCCCGGTGCATATTCTTGTTGGTCAGTCAGTTGAGTTAAGCAATGTGATTCCTCGGACAATCCAAGGTAACAAGCTCTTATCACTTGCAATCTTATCAGAGTCTGATTGAATGCATCTACCAAGTAGAACAGCACCTCAATCTCATACAATGATAGATCCAGCACAAATGTCACTGAATAGCCTATTTCAAACACACCTGTCTCTTCATATTTGTGTGACCAGTCCGAAATAGCTAATGCAAGTTGATGTTACCTGCAATTCAAAAATTACGCTTGCAAGTCATGAGTTGCGCAACTCAAGCACGATGTTAGAAACAAAAACGTCAGTGTAAAATATTGCTACCCCTACGTTGTGAATCAAATCAGTTGCTATCCAGCATCGCCAGAATGGAGGTTACACAGCCTCAGGACTTCCCAGTACTCTTCTCACGCCCAGTTATTGAGAGCCCGCTAGCCGTAAGAACATTGGTCTCTAGCAACAAGACCTCTTCAACGAAAATCCTAGCAGCTATATTCTCCAAAGTGCTTGTGGTTGGTTCTCCTAAACATTTCTCTCTCTTGTCTGTAGGTCTTGGATGATAAAAACGGTGCGGTTATCTGCTCTTACAAGCAAAAAAGCCACAAAGATGGACTATGCAGTGACTTTGCAACTAGCCAACATCTGAGAGCTCCGGTCATCAGTTTCACCATCCTTGCTAAGGCAGCCCACATCGCAGAGTCACAGAGAGGCATCATCCTATGTGCTCCCACATCAGGGAAGCAGTCACCAAGCTGGCACATGTAGCCAAATGGCTCCCCTATAGCCTAGCCTACTAATCCTATGCCTGAAGCTGGCAGTGGTTGGATGCAGATGGTCAGTTGAGAGACTACACTGTAGCAGCAAACATGGAATCAGTTGGGGCCACACTTGGGGCTCCGGAGTGTAGTCTTCTAGTTGCAATCATCTTCAAATTGGATGCCTTCGTCTTTTGTTTAGGCAACTCTTTATCAATGCCATCTATTTGTTTAGTTGTCACTTGCTTTGAACAAACTGGTTTTTAACCTTTTCTTTGTCATGGTTTAAAAAGGTTGATGGGATGTAAGATTGGTGCAAAATAAATGTTGTCTTCAAAGTTTCAAATGTTGTTTCTTCTTTTTGATTCTATTGAAGTTTGTTTTTATAACTCAAACATGTAAGTAGATCTACAACTTGAGAGAAGTTTTTGATGAAGATGGAATAGTAGTTGGTAAATTCTAAAAAAACATTGGACATCTCTTACCATTTTTGAAATCTTTTAATCTATAATAGTTTGAATTTTTTTAGGATCCATTATAAGTCCATCATTTAAAATGATATATTTTAAGAAATCAACTTGAGTAGTATGAAATATACACTTTTCTATTTTGGCATAGAATCCCATGTTTCTTAATTTTTATAATACATGACAAATATGAAGTTCATTTAAGATATTTAAGTTTATTTATGAAGTTATTTATATTCTTAGAATATATTAAGATATCATCTAGGTAACAAACAACAAAGTCATCTAAAATCTCTCAAAAAATATCATTCATTAGATGTTGAAAAACTACTAGTCCATTTATAAGTCCAAAAGTCATGATGTTGTATTCAAAATATCCATATTTTATTCAAAATATAGTTATCTATTCATCTCATTTTTTGATGTGTATCAAATTATATGTTCTTTGTAGATCTATTTTTGTATAGATCTTAGTTTGATTCAATTGATGAAAAAATTCACATATTAAGGTAGAAGGTATCTATTTTTTATGGTGATTTTATTGAATCTTTGATAATCAACACACATCTACAATGATCTATCTTTTTTCTTTATAAATAAAATTAGAGCTCTTGCTAGAGATTTGAAATGGAGTATGAAGTTCTTGGCCAGATTTTTTTCAATATACTTCTTGAATTTAGCCAATTCATTTTGTGATAAACTATAAATTGATCCAAACAATAGTTGAACTCCTTCTTGAAGGTTAATTGAATAGACATAGGAATGATATTTTTATAAAGTATCTGCATTCTTCTTTTCAAATATATCTTGAAAATCTTGATATTGACTTGAAATGTAACTTGAAGTCTTTCTACTGCTAGAAATAGGTGTAACATAAATGGCATAAGATGATCATTTTTTTGGAGCATACAAAAAAGCTCTTATACCTACAAATACATGTTTAATTACACTAAACTTAAGACTTTCTTTTTAATCAACTATATTCTTAATTATACTTTCAAAAAATTTAAGACTATGAGATATTTAATTTATTGTTGGATTATATTTTTTTAGCCATAATAAACTTAAAATAATTGGATTAGAAAGAGATCCAATAATATTAAATATTATAAAGCTATTATAACCATTAGTTGTTACTTTTATAGGAAGGATTTCATGAATAATATTTTTTAAGTCAAAGACAACCATCTATGATTTCTATATGAACATGTTTAGTTTTTTTCCGTAAAGGTATGCTATGTTTTTCAAAAAATTCTTCATCTAAGAAACACATTGAGGTTCATGAATCTAACAAGATAAACGCTTTGTGATATTTAGGTCTTAAAATAATATTTATCATAAAAAATATATATATATATATATTTGAAAAAAGAATAGGATTTTCAATAAGTATTTTATAAGGTTTCAGCCACAAGGTCTCTATTATAGCTAGACAAACTTATTTTTTGACATATTATCTTCTTTAATAGCCATATTTTTTATTTTGAGGTTGCATCACTTCTTTACATAATATTAAATAATTTACTTAGGTTCTCCACAATACAAGTACAATCCTTTCTAATGACGATGAGTCTTTTCTTCCTAAGTAAGTTCTTTAAAATATATTGTATCTATTTACATATCTTTTATTTCTAAAAGTATGTATTAAAAAGATGTTGGCATTATCATTGAATTATAGTAATATTGAAGTGTACTTGTACAACTCTCAAATCAAAATTTAAAAAGTCAATTGTGACACTTCACAATAAAGTCAATTGCTTGACTCAATGTTTGAAGATTAGATAAGTTGACCATTAATTTTTCCACCTCATATTATAATCTATAGAAAAATTAGTTAACAACTGCAGTATTATTTCACTTGATATCAATTATAAGTTATAAAAACTATGAAGCATATAATGTTATCAATTAATTTTCATATTGCAAAATATAGATCAAATTGGTTGAAACACGAATTGCATCATGTTTTTCTTATATGGATCAAAACTTTACCAAAAAAACCTCTAGATTATCCAATATTGAATCTTGTTGTTCAAAAAAAGATAAAAACCATGATAATGTTGAATCTAAAAAAAGTGTATTAATGAATGTATCTTGCAATCTTAGAATGGGATGGCTTTGGAATTGAAGTTCAATCACAAATTGTATTTGATTGATAAATCCTTGAAACTTGGATCTTCTACTATCAAACTTCTTGAGTAATGCAATCCTTGGTTCTCTATCACTAGAAGGATATTCCACCATAGAAAAAAGAATATGATTTGGTACAAATATTGAAGCTACTCCAATCACTTTTATATCTTCACTCCCTTCTATTCTTGTTGCTCATTGTAGTGGTAAATTGAGTTGATGCATCACAAGCATTAACTCCTTCAATTGCTCTTGCATTTATGTCATTACACTCTTTATTTTGAGAATCTCTACTATAATAACACTTAAAGAAAAAAAAATGTCTGATATTGCTCAAGACAAATAAAAAAGAAGATTTAAAAATAAATGAAAAAATCCTAAAGACAATATCAATTTAGAAGAAGGTAATCTGCAACTCCTAATATACTTAAGTCTGTTAAAAAATATATATATATATATATATATATATATATATAATCCACTTTTAATCAAAGAAAAGATAAAGCTCAGATATTATAAGTGTATTCTTGTCAATCTGTCAAGGAGAAGAATTCAATGAAAGAAAATAATCAAATGATGCTCTCTGAAAGAAATATAATAAAATAAAAATAGGAAATTATATATATTAAAAAAGAAAGCAAAATTGCTATTCCCACAAAAAAAAGAAATTTAAAATTCTTAAAAATAGACTAGAAGTAAAAAAGGAATTGACAAGAGTGAAGAAGACTTCACTCTTGCCTCTATATATACTATCTACTTAGGATCTATGTGACAATATTCTATAGAACCTCCAAAAATGTGTTGACTTTGTATGACATATATCTTAATTTACAAGGCAAGTTTTTTATATAGATGCCACATAGTTAGCTTGTTTTCCAAGCTACCAATACATATGGCACGTGGTTAGCTTATTGACCAAGTTTCTAAGCTATTTATTAACTATAAAGACATGTAAAATCAAAACATCATTTAAGAAGCTTCTAGGAAGCTTATCTAGAAAGTATTATGAAATTAATCTAATTTTATCTACTTCTACTTATTCAAATTATTTAGATAAAAAATTATAGTAGATATATATATATGTGAAAAAAATTTGGAATCACACCAAGCAAGTTTATAATAGAGCCAAAGCATCTTTTGGTTAGCAATATATTTTTATTTTATTTTATTTTATTTTTTCTACATACATAATGGTTATTTCATAACTAAAATAGAATAGAGTTGCTGAATTTTTAGTTGGATTTTTTATAAGAATATTCTTTATATTATCATATAATAATATAGCCATTAGATAAATATATATATATATATATATATATATATTTATTATAAAAGAATTTAATTAAAAGATATAGTAAAACAACATAGATAAAAGATAAAAAGTAATAAAATCCTATAGTATTAGAATTGTTATTTATGAAAATAGATTCTATTTATTTTTTATAGCTATAAATAAAGAAAAATAAGATAGATTCAAAAAATAAAAAATATAAGCATATGTAAGGAATTAAAAATTGATTATAAGAAAAATTACTTTAAAAAAATAAGCATTGATACTTGAAAAGGATTGGTTGCCAAACAAGATCAATATTAGACTTTGAGGCACAAAATTGAGTACCTATGCTATA